AAAAGTGCTCAAATGAAAATTGTCATCAGCCTCAAGTATTTATAGAATTTTTAAAAACATAATTGGAAGAGGTGTGAGACTCACACCAAGATAATAAGTTAGGCAGGATTTGCTGAAAACTGCATAAGGGTCACCCTCAACTATGTGCCGAGACCTTCTATTAAGCGCCCGACTGAAATCTTGTCTCGCGTTTTTGGCCTTCCGAGCCATTTCTATTAATAGTAAAATTACAGTTCTGATCTCTAACTTCTGGATTCCACACAAGTTAATCCTCATGTTTTTAATCTCTATAATTTGGTCCTAACATTTATGATTTCTTCCAATTAAATCTTTTTCTATACAAAAATAAAAATTATGTAAAATGAAATAAAATTTCCTAAAATTCACCAAAATATCAATAATATCCAGATATAAATTTCACATTAATATATATAAATTTAACTTATCATTGTCCAAGTAATTGATTTGTTAGTTGCTGTTTGCTACCACTTATTTATCATTTCTCTTACTTGTTTTTAAAGGAAAGGAATAACTCAACATTGATGCACTAAAATCACTCTAACAAATGTATTAATCGCTTCAAGTAATATAATGATGAGAAGAGTGTCAACTCACAAGAATTGTAATTAACTAAATAGCAAATAATTAATCCAAATTTATTTGAACAGTCGAAAATAAAGAAAGTTCAATTAAAAAAAATAATTAAAAAAATAACAATTAAAATCAAACTGATCAAGATATGAGGTACTAAGACATTGATTTCACCATAATCAATCACTATAAATTCTGGATTAATATGCTAATTTGTTGAGTGTTATTGCATGTGATGGCAGATTTCCCTAAATTAATTAACTAGCTTTCTCAAATCTCAAGTCGAGTTAATCCTTAACTTGTTTGTTAAATTAATCATATCTCTATATAATTTTAAACAAACTAATGAGTATTAAATTTAATGGAAACCACTAGTTTAAGAAAGGAGAGCTCCTAATTCTCTTCTCTTTCTCTACTACCACATGTGAGCTAATTACCTTTTCGTTTCATAGTCTAGCACGCGGTTTATATTTATTATTGGTCTAATTTACGCAATTCTTTCTCAAATTCATGTAAAAATCACTAAATCATTTAAAAGATGATCAGACTTCCAATACATTAAATTTAATAATATAAACTTCTCATACGAATAACTTTAATTGAAAATATAAAATCACAAATTTTATATTGAATTGATTATGTTACATCATAACCCTAATATAATAAATCAGTTCATAATAAAAATAATAAAATCTAAAATAATAGTTATGAACATAAAAATAACAAGGAAGTATAAAACTCAATTTGAGAAAATTGAAATTCTTGATTTTTTATTGTTGAATTTTCTCTCTTGATTTTTAATAATGCCTAAAAGAAGGCTGCTATCAGCCTCCACCAAACTTTTCTAATTTTAAATTTGGATGGGTATTTATAGGATTTTAAAAACTTTAGTTAAAATAAAAATGCGATTTAAAGCAGAATAGGAAAGTTGAGATTTGGATGCAGAACGCATGGTGTTGATACCCTAAATTACTTGTCGATGCAAAACAGAAAACAAAAAGTTTAATTATGGACGCTTAACACATGGTGTCGACACCTTGGTTATGTGTCGACACTACATCCGTGTCGAGGTTCCAGTCTTTCTTTGCAATTTCTTTAATAGTAAAATAGCAGATCTAGTCCTCCAACTTTTGTAAGATGAGCACTTAGATCTCAAACCTCAAGATTCATTCATTGAAGTCTCAAAGAGCGCCCTTCTTCTTGCAATTCAGTCCCTAAACTTTCAAAAGATGTTCAATTAATCTCGAAAACTCCTATTTTATACATTCAAGTCTTTTTTTGCTCAAAGAATGAAAATCATGTAAAATCTCATAAAACTCATCCAAATATCAATAATATCAAGGTAACAATTCTACATTAATATGTATACAAATTCAACTCATCAAACATCATCAAGATCAGTCCTTGAACTTTATACTAAGGTACAAACTTTATCCCCCTTTTTTTTTTGCTGTAGGTACAAACTTTATCCTTAGGTACAGTTATGACCTTATTTTTTTATTGGATTCAATGGAGTCCTTGGATAGCTAGTCATGTCCAAGTAAGCCCTTTTTTCAGTTTTTATTTTCTATTACTGGGCTTAGAATGTGGGCTCAAGAAAATTGGGTTTTCCTCCTTCCATTGTTTGAGTTTTCAATCAGGAGAGTTCTTTATAAGAAAGTAAAGATCGATCCATGGTGCCAAGAAGAAACAAAACATGCCGTCTAAAAGGAATCTTTTTCTTGGGTAGTCAAAATAATTTCTTGACAACATCAAATATTTCTTATTGAGTATGATTTCTAGGATATATTAACAATATAGGTGGAACACATGTGACAATGTCCTTAAAAAGCAACAGAGAGACTAATTTCAAGTTCCTTTAGAAATCAAAGATCAAAGTCAAGCAACATCAAAGAAATGATCACAAGAAAAACTTGAAATCCCAAACCCTCAAAAGCTTTAAAGTCCGTACAACAAAAAAAATCATAACCTCAAGGGCTTTCGTTAGTTTCTTTAACTACTCAAATTAATTTTCTTGTAATCAGAAGCAAGCATGTGATTTTCCCCTTTTATCAGACATGGCATTGGTAAATGTAGCCCTACTTTACACTATGCATATGCGTCTAAATCTCCTTCCTTATATCGGTTAACATAACATGCTCACCCAACTAAATTCATCTTTCTGACTTAGTCAAAGACAAGCGTTGTTAATGTTTGATATACATCAATTCCTTCAAGGTTTAAAGAAACCTTATTTCGTAAGGAAACACCTAAATTCATTCTCTGTTGAAGTTTCTTGGAAGATCAAGTAATTTTGGCATTTGAGAAAAGGAGATTTTGATAACTATCATGAACATGCAGGCACGCTAAGTTTTGTCAGTTGGTTTAATTGTGACGGCATCTTGTTTTTGTGGGAATCAATGGTGGTACCGACTTACTGCGAGTGAAAAAAAATTAAACCACACTGATCTCAAGGGGGAGCAAGTTGGAGGTCACAGATGCCATACACACCTTGTGTGTCTAAGCTGGACTAACACACTAATCTATGCTAAAAGGCATTGTTAATTGAAACATGATATGTACTACTATGCTTTAGCAATTCTATGCAATAATCACTTGACCATGTTCCCTCAAGCTCTTAATTTGATGCCTATGCCACTTTGGAAACTATGCTTATCTTGTTCCCATCTACACTTTTTTCTCCTCTTGCATCAAGATGAAATGAGCTTGTGTAGAAGTTTAAGGGTACTTGAAGTTTTATTGCTCTTATCAATTAGAACTTTCAAAGAAAAAGGTTAATTAAATAAAGGATATTTTATCATGACCTTAGTAGGAGGGTGAGAAAAGCTAGCTAACTTATTATACAGTATCATATTGGTCACAATATATATGCTAGCTTATGTGTTTTTCTTTTATTTTCTCTTTCTTTTTACATAGGGTAAACAAGAGAGGCTACTCTTTATCTATCTCAAGGAAGAACCTGTATCAGGCTCTTACCTATTGAGACATTCACTTAAGTAGCTTATTAGCTTCCTTGATAACATTAATAGGCCAACCTTTAATGACTCTAAAAATCTATATGTAACAAGTTAACAACATTTAGGCATTCCATACAAATATAGCATAGAAAAGAAAAAGAAGTAAAGAAATGCCTACTCTCTATAAGGTATCCAAGGGAAGAAGCATAGTATGTTTGGTCTGTTACCATGCATATTCAAATGATGATAAAAGCTGGAGACTGAATCTCTGACACTATATATTGTCTAGTACATATTGACCTTATTAATTATCAAATCATATCTTACTTTCTAGGGAGTTCAATTTTGTTTTAATATATCAGTTCTAGCTAGTCTGTTATTAAAGCAATCTAATTAATTAAGCTTCTAAGAATGATGTTTTCAATGAGGATTAGTGGCAATGTGGCATGATACGCACCATGCGTATGGGTGTCTAAGAATGTATCCATAAATCATAGAAAGCCATTCATCATTTATGATTTTATAGAGAAGGTCTTTCATACAATTGCTATATCATGTGACATGATATTAAAAGTAAGTTACATGTATTTTCAGTTATGTGAATAAAGAGTCGTTTTTGTTTACGTGTTAACATTTAATAAAGAGTCGCTTTGCTAATTTTTTTCTGAGATTGTATACTTTATCAACATGAAAGGATAAAGAATGCTGCCAAATGGGCAACGAGGAAAATGGAACATAGAAGTGGAACCTTGGATGGAGAAGAGCCTTATTCGACTGGAAAAGAGAAGAAGCTGCGGAATTGCAAAGAAAGATTGATGGAGTGTCGATATATCTAGACAATCTCGACACATGGAAGTGGGAGCATAGCAAGGAAGGCAACTACTCAACTAAAACAGCATACAGATTACTAACAAATGAGCAAGATGGACGGGATGCAGCTTCAATATACAAGAGAGTTTGGAACCCTATCATTTCGAGCAAAATTTCTGCTTTTAATTGGCAACTACTACAAGATAGAATACCAACAAAGAGCAACCTGCAAAGAAGAGGGATTATTAACGATTTGGGTGACGATAATTTTATTCTATGCGAGGGGGAGGTCAAGGACTCTAATCATCTTTTTTTGAAGTGCAAGATAGCTAAGTGGCTATGGAAGGCTTGCGGGAATGGTGGGGGATTGCTATTACTTTGGAAAATGATTGCTGGAAATCCTTTGAGCAGTTTGGAGAATGGGCAAAGGAATCACGTGTAAAGGAAGGTTGAGATTGTATCTGGAATATTGTGGTGTGGTCCATATGGCTTGCAAGAAACCAGAAGATATTCTGAGATTCCGACGTCAACAAAAGTAAGTTTCTCGACCACATCCAGTTGAAATCTTTTTTGTGGATTAAAGCAAGGAAATCTGGATGCTTGTTTAATCTTTCTGATTGGTTAATCAATCCTAGGACATGTCTTAAAGTTAACTGTGGTAGGAAATAAAGTCTTGACCTAAGTTGGATGGATTAGCCTTAATATTAAGAAGGTATCGATTGAATCCCTGAATGTAATCTCATAGATTGCATTGAGCAACTAATTGACTCTACTTAGAATTAAGATAGAGTCAGTAGATGCTCAATAAATACTTGTTTTGTATTATGGCAAACTCTACTTTGCGTGCCAATGGGTTTGACAAGTGAGAAGTTTTTGAGGATCAGAACAATGATATATGAAGAACCCGCAAAAGAGGATAAAAATCCGACACAGGTATAGTGTCGACACATAATTTTATGTTGACACCATATGTTAACATCCAAAACTCCAGCATAACCGTGGTGTTGACACATCATTTAGGGGTCGACATCATACAAAAGGGCTTTTCTACTCATATAATATGATACCCTTTCAAATTATGATATTTATGGGTTTAAGGTACCTCTTGTACTCCGTTTATGAATAAATAAATATTTTTTGCTGTTAAAAAAAAAACTTGTTATAGCACATTGGACATATTGTTATAGGATAATTGTATTGTAGATTTTTTTTGGAACTGCATTCGAACTCTTGAAATTAAGATAGAATGAGGTTCAATTGGATAAATTTTACATTACGGTGTGGCAAGCATTAGTTTTTTATTTTTTGAGTTTTCCTAAGCTCTGCATGTACACAGATGCAATATTTTAAGCAGGTAACTAGAGCTAGGTGCTGTAACCCTAGCTTTGACTTGGGTTTGAAACCTTCTATATAACCCACATTATGTTTCCAAAATTTCCTCTCTTTGTGCATTGTTCAACAAGATAACCGAGAAAAATCACAAACATGATGCTTCTAAGACTCACAACTCTTGTTCTAGTGCTGCTCTTTCTTATGCATGCCTTTAGGGCCTTCAGCTCTGTCCATGCTCATCAAGGTACATACTCAATTTAATTTTTTTTTATATTGGGGAAGGAAGATTCAAACCCCTTTCTCATGGATGGGATACATGCGCCTCCTAATTAAGCTACAAGCGATCAGATGCAATCGTAGTCAATTGATTCTTTTACACGTTGAGATTTTCTTAATTACCTCTCTTTTCAGGAACAGAAATAGATGGAGATACTCTTGAGTCTTGGTCCCAAGAGGTGGGATTTTTATCCAGATATCATGGCTATTTATTGACTTGTTTGAGCTATTTATGTGCTTAAATTTTACAGATTTTATGTGCAGGGTATTTTTTATGATTTCAGAACTGCTGGTAGTTATAAGATAGGGTTTGAAGGAAGAAAAATAGGAGCTGAGAAAGAGCTGAAAAATGAAATCATGGAGGCTGCAGGAAAGAAATCAAAGATTTCAGGTGCACCCTTTGGTTCTGAAGCAAAGAAGGATTTCAATAGAAAAAAACAAAAGTATTAGTACTACTAAGAATGGTGTAGAAGGTCATTTTGTAGGTTTTGGTGCCGATTATCATGGGCCTAAACATCACCCTCCTAAGCATAACTGAGTGTGGGGAAAAAAAAAAAGGCAAAAAAGAAGAACAACACTAGAAACCCTTTCTAAGTTATCCCTCATTTTGTCTACTTTTAGCCTTTGGGACATCTTAGTTGTATGTAATGCAAAAATTTTTGTTTGTAAAAAATGGATTTTCATTTGTAGACACCATGCCTCCCAAAGATCCCTAATATTTTATTTTGGGATATCTCTGTATATGCAGGAAAGCACAATGGTGACTCAAACGTGTTCAAGGGATTTCAAGATCAAGATAATAACCAGGTTTCTCCCTCTCTCGTATAGCAAAGCCCCTTCTCTTTCTTTCTTTATATCTATTTTTTTGTACTTTTGATTTTGGACACGTACCCCGAATATTCAAACTCAAGACCCTCGTATTCCCTGCTATTGTTTCAAGTTCCAAGCATGAACACATATTCCTCAAGAGACTGGCCCTTTCCTTACAAAGTAATTAGCATTATTACCTTTATGTTCAAACCAGATTGATAGCAACAAGATGGAGCCGGAGATGACAATATCTGTGGATCGCCTGGACATGCCTAAAGCCAGAATGATGAATAAGAGAATGGGAGGAAAAGAAAGGCTTCTTTCAGTTGTTGAGAAAGAGTTAGTAAACCTGTTGCACAAGGATTACTCTGGCATGAAGAAGCCTGGTCGGAAGCCTCCGATCAACAACAATGAACCACAGCATTAATATATCAGTATCTCCCCCAAAACTAGATAGGTTTAGGCTCACAATTTTGCCCCCAACATGGAAGTGATCCCTTTAACCTATATAATAAAGGCATGCATAGGAAAAAGATGTTGTTTTGTTTTTAAAAACAAGGGATTTAGGAGTCGCAAATTACATAGGTTTTGTACATTAAATGTGCCTTTGATTAGTTGTTTGTCATGTTAGATATGTGTACGGTGTTTTGTCAACGATGGAAGCATATATATGTTCGTTTTGCCGCACTAAACTATTGCTTTTGTTGAATATATAAATTAAAGCAAAGTATGAAAATTGTTTCCACACACATATATATATATATATATATATATGTCTTGCAATCTTACTATTTGTTCAAAAATAATATAAGAGGGTGGTACATATTAATTCTAATTTTTTTAAAAGAAAATTAGAATTTCACCTTATATTTAAAAATTAAAATTTTAATTTTAAATTGTGGAATCTATTTTATTAAATATTAATATTTAGATTTAGAAATCAATTATATATTTTAATATAATTAGTTTTTAAATATAAATATTTAATAAAATAAAATTTTTAAATTTTAAATTAAATTATAATTAAATAAAAAATATA